TCCTCGACGAGCCGTTCCGCGGCGATCGTTCGTGGCGTATATGCGTGACCAGGACGAAGACGACGGAGGAGGAGAATGACGACGACGACGACGACGACGACGACGACGACGACGACGACGACGACGACGACGACGACGTGGACAACCGGGCGGAGCGAGATTTCAGCACCCGCGCGCGCGGCCGCATTCGCCGGCTGGGCTCGGGGCTTTATTTCTCCTCGGTCACCCTCTCGCAATCCGATCCCCTCGCCCTGTTACCACCCCTCTTTCCCGAACCTCCTGCCGCCGTCCGAAGACTTGAGCGCATTGCGCAAGCCCATAATTATTCTCCCTGCGCGCGTATCGAGGAATGAGGCTTATTAGCGGAACGTAACTGTGTGTTTTCCTCTATTCATCCCTTTTCCTCTTTTCCTTTCTCCTTCCTTTCTCTCTGTCCTCTTTGTTTTTCGCCTTTTTTGCCTTTTTCGGTTTCACGGATCCCTCGCAATCGCTGTCGAGAAACCTGAAAACGATCCTGCGAGTGACGGTGCCGTCGTTTTGTCATTTAAGACTTACTCGATGCACCTAATGTACCGTCTGAGAATGCGATCCTTTTCTCATACTCTCCTCGTTTCCCTTTCATCTCAGATTTGACGAAATCGTCCTTGGTCGTTTATATGTTTAAAATCGATCTCAAATATTCATTGAAAAAATGTCAAGTTGGTAGGTTTGACAAGTTAAATGGTGCGATTGGTCAGTAGGAAGTCTGGTAAGAACTTTGACGATCTGTTCTGCATTGTCATAGCGTATCTTTATTGTTACTGGTATAGAATTGCCATCCATCGTCTTTTCCCCGAACTATTCTCTTTTTTAGGGTGTCTGGGGGTGTCCGGGGGGATTTTTTTTGAAAGCGTCCGGGATAATTAAGCGTCCGAGGTTTTCTAAAGATCTTCTAAATATTTTGTTTTGATTCCTCTCGCATTACTCTGCATTATCCCATAGCACAGATATCACATGAAAGAGTTAAAATTTTTTAATTTTAATACCTAATAAAACTTAAACTAAACCTAAAAAACTTTTTATTTTAAATAGCCAAAATAGTCTGTATTTATTTAGTATTCAGTTCAAATTTTTCTTTGCTCTGAATGCTAATAAACAATTAGATGTGAAATAATGATTCATTTACTATTCTGATCAATTTTATTAAGCGCATTTTTGTCCGGGGTTGCAATCGAAATGTCCGGGGTTTTTGGCTTGTAAGTCTTAGTTTTGAAAATTGTAATATGGTTAACCCTACTGGTGCAGTCTTGGATTTTCGATCCCGGGCAATTGTCGTGCCGAAGTTTTTTTGGATTCGACCGAAAACAATACCGGTTTGGCTAAATAAATCAAAACGATCACTGAAAAAGTGGCAAGTTGGCAGTTTTGGCAAGTTAAATGGTGCGATTGGTAGAAAGTCAATAGGAAGGGGTGGTTTTTCTTGGATTTTCGATCTCGAGCGATTTTTTATCGTCGTGCCAAAGTTTCTTTGGATTCCAAAATGGAAACAATAGGGGAAACATGCAGGGTACATCGTTATATGTTTTATTTATTTAAAAATTGTGTAAATTAATTAATTAGCTAAATTAATTATCGATCTCGATCTCGCGGTGCGGATAGTTATCAGCAGGGTGCCAGCTAGAGGGAGAATTACGAGATAAGACGTCAGAAGAGATTTTGGTAAAATGAATCTTTAATAAAGATGAAATTAAATAACAAATTATGCGTAATCAAAACGATAAAGTTTTGCTATGTTGCTCATCATTAATGTTGGGGATTGATTTTATAACCTGGCTAGAATTTTGACACGTTGGCTCCGGCGTCGGTCCCTAGGGCCTGGCATTGTATCTTTCTAAGTGTCGGTTTGTGACCTTGGACCGACCCTATTAAACTTATCAAATAAGATTGGTGATTCATAAAATATAAAAACAAGATATTTACACTTTTTCAAGTTGTAGTTTATTAAAGCAGTATAAATATTAATTTGGCTTTTTTTCACGCATATCGCAAAACGTTACGATGTAAATTTACGTTACGTTTATTTATTTTTGTGTTTTTTACTTCCTATGTTAATGGCCGAATTTTAGGAAAAGATTGAAACAGAATAGTTGCGTCGAGCGTGTCATTTTTCTTTGCATCATATTACTCAGTTCACGCTTAACTTTCTGCGCCGGTCAAACGGAAAGCATAACAATATTGGTTCCGTAGCCAACGTGTTAAAGTTTTTTTATACAAGTGAATTTTATTTTCGGAATACAAGCGATACAGTGAATCTTACGAACGTTGTTGAGTACAAATGAATTTTGAAGTCTCTAAGTATACGCTTCAATATTATCGATATTACATATATGAAATATTCGAAAAATAGAAATAGTCAATTTTGTCTCTTCAATAAGATTAAATGTTTGAACGCAAACAGTATTGTTGATCATTCTGGCCTGTGATAGCTGGAATTCTAGGCATATCTTGTGCATATGTTTTGATCAGAAGAAACCGACGGAAAGTTGTTCGTATTGTCTGATCGTCCTCCAATACGTTAATCATCTTTAATCAAAAAAAGGTGATGCGTGAAGAACAATATAAGGAAGAGCATTATCTCGCAAGAATAGAATTTCAAGAAAGGTATATTATATAAAGGTATATTATATATAAATCATCAATAAAGATAGATAGATCAATAGATCAGGATAGATCAGGTAAAAATCAGGTTAAATATCTCCTATTTCTCGTAATATATGATTTGGCTAAATAAATCAAACAGTTCACTGAAAAAGTAGTTGGCAGTTTTGGCAAGTTAAATGGTGCGATTGGTAGGAAATCCGGTTTTGAAGAAAAGTTTTGCCCGAATAAATTTAGCGATTTGTTTATTGTCATAGCGTGTCTTCATTGTTATTGATGCATTCTTGGATTTTCGATCCCGATTTTCGATTGTCGTGCCGAAGTTTCTTTGAATTCGATCGGAAACAATAGGGGAAGCATGCAGGATACATCGTTATATGTTTTATTTATTTAACCGTTTGAGTCCCAAGCAGCGCGATCGCGCTGTTGAGATTTTATGTCGAGAAAAACCCAGCACATTTCGAGCATTGTGGACAACTGACGGTGCATTACCGATTGTCGAAGTCGCGCGGTCAGATTCACTGACACAAATACATCACACAGCTCCTTTTAATGTAAATAGTACATTTTACAATAGGTAGAATAATACTATAATAATGCAATAATAATACATTACAAAATAAAAATTTTTATTTCATTGTTACTCTCCTCAACAATTTTTATCGAACAAAATTTGAAATATTTATAAATTTACAGTACGCATATGTAATAATACAGATGTATTTTATAAAAGCGCTATCGCGCCGCTTGGTATTTCTCGACATAAAATAAAACAAGCGCCATCGCGCTGCTTGGGTCTTTTCGTACTCATTTAGAAAAAGCGCGGTTGCGCTGTTTGGGATTCTTCGACAGTGTTTTTTTCAATACCCCCTGGGACTCAAACGGTTAAAAATTGCGTAAATTAATTAATTAGCTAAATTAATTATCATTCAGATATTTCATTCTTTCTTCGTTATTTAGTCATTTTTATTACAATGACACGGTGGCGTTTATATCAAAATTTTATTTTCTTCTCTCGCATCAGTCTTGTCTTTTAAAGATAACATGTGAAAAACGCATAAGCATGTAAAGTATATGCCATTAAATAACACTTTGCGTGTGTATCGATATATCCGCGAGGAAAGGTGATATCGCAGATATTCAAGCATTAAATCGTTTGAGTATATAAATCCTTTTTTTTATCGCGTGAAACTTTGTAGAATTATTGCATCACAATAGAAGTAAAG